ATTCTGATCGACTACAGGAATTTGCAATTTAAGTTGCATTCCCAGGCAGCTGAAAGTAGAAATAAAAATGTAATGTGTGTTAACACATCTATTTGGGTTGTCTGCTGTTAATTTGGGTGAAAACTGACTTCCAATGTCTTCTTGTCTGGTCTTATTAGCTTTGTTGAGCAGAGATTGAGGAATTATTTTTGATATTTCCAACAGACATATAAAGTCAACAATATTAATCATTTCAACACACAGGCATTGGATCAAAAACTGTGACTGAAGGAAACCTGCCAGTTGTTAGGATCCACACTCAATATGCAAGTGGAAAACTTGTTTTCTCACACCTGGATTGTCATTAGAAACAAAAGCGTATGATGGTGGAGAAGCAGTACAAACCACCAAATCAACTGCAAACTTAAACACGTTTTTTGAGCTGTAAACTAAATGTATACATTTGCTGTTTATCTGTCCCTTTGTACATCACGTCAAACCTTGTAAATACCTTGTCTAACAAATTAGATTTTGGAAAAAAAATCTTAAGCTAGTTTTTAAAAATAAGCACTAAGGTCAAAGTCACTGCAGCCGAACATCTGTCCAATTTTGGGAATATCCAATGGGATAAAATTATGAAGAGATGACTTTATTCAGCCTGACAAGGATGTAAACTGCTCGACTCAAATTGTTGACTGAGGCACAGAACCGGCTGCCGGTAACTGCTGTAATCAAAATCAATACACGACAGTGAGTAGCTGCCTCCAACGTTATAAAGTGAAATACTTCAGAATCAGTAATGCTGTATTATCGTAGCCCAGGGAAATGTAAAAATGTTTTCTTTTTTATTTGAAATGTCAGAAACTTGTCCAATTATAACGAGCTCAAACGCCTATGTTCTATATTTGACAATGAAAAGATGGTTATTTTGGATTAGTATTGCATTCATAGCTTTGCTGTAGCTTCTGGTGAATAGAGGTAAAAGAAACAAAGGGAGATCTTGTCAACTGCCATTAAATTGTCTTTAATGAAACAGAACCTCTACAGTGACAGGGTAAACTGACTCAGCAAGTAGCCGTCGACCAATGGCGTCGACTAATACCTTGAGCAGATGGACGGAGGCTAAAACACGATACAGAAACCTGAAGGGAGGTGGGAAACTACGTACTCGGTTTGTTCCAACATATGGTGCACTCTAAAGACTGCTGTCCATTCCCAGCATCCGCTTCTACAAATCCATACAACATAGTAAAAAGGAACTAACTAAATGGTCTTCTTTTCATCCCCCTCGCCCCTAATTTTCAAATGAAAATGTGAGTGTGTACTGACGTTGCACATGTTATTTTAATGTACCTCATCAAGCAAACGCTAGGCCTACCATTACTAAAAACTCTCTCGGGTGTCATCAGTCGCAAACAAAGTGATGCACGCATGTTTGAGGAGAGTGAAAATTAACGTTTAATTATTGGTGCTTAATATGTCCTCTTCCATATACGTTTACTGCAGAAAGCCCTCATGGAATGAGCAAATAACAGAAAAAAACTTATTGATTCATGTGAAAGGTAGGAAATCATTTTTTGATACAGAATTAATAAGCAAATTAATTTTTAAAACTTTTTATACACTGTTGAACCATGAACCATGAGAAATTAGACCTCTCATGTGATTTCTTCAGATCAGTAAGAATGCAGTGTTAGTTAGTCAAGATAAATATTCAAAACCAGACAACTTCCCTGTTTTATATTAAATACTGAAGGCTTATTTCTCTTCTCACTGGGCTGGACATGAAATATATTTTTAATTAGGAATTTATGACATTTTAAAAATAAAAGTTCAGGACACAAGCTAAAGAAAAACACAGCTATGAGTAAACGCTAATTAAGATCAGATGGTCAGATGTTTGCTGCACAGTATATACTCAACATATTCCTTTGGCAAGTAAAGCTTCCTACCAAAATAAGATCTTTATATGAAGGGAAATTCAGACATTCAGCTTACAGTGCTACATAACTCCTGCTGGAATAGAAAAAAAGGTCACAGTAGGGACGTTGGAGACAACAAACAAAATACTGTCTAAAATCTGGTGTCAACCTGCTCCTGACTCCTTGCTGACTTGCTGCCTGTTGATGTAGACAGTCAACATCTACTCATGTGCATGCGGTGTCAGAAATGAGCAGATAGCACACCACCAGAATTCAAGGTAGACCGTTTCAAAATGCAACGAATATCGCACATGCATGTAAATGGCCTTACTGTTCTACGTAGATGTTATTATGACATGGATGTGCATGGATTTAATTATCATAATAGTCTTGAAGACTCAATCCATAACCGAATATATTAGATTCTGTTGGATCTTCTTCCAACATCGAATGAGATCCTTCAGACTGGCAGCAACACGGCCTTGTTTATCGACTCTTTTGCAGCTATGAGGGACTTTTCATTGAGGTCATCTGGCTCGCTTACCTGCAGTGTATCCCTCCACGCGTGCCTGCCCTGTCAGCGGCTACTGCCGACAGCTTTTACTTGACTGAAACTGATTGCCGTGATAAAATGTGACTGTGAAGCCTCATCTGCACTCTCCTCAGCCTTCTCTTCCGTGATGTTCCTGACGTTTTCTACTTTTCCAGCATTCGACATATCTATGAGTTCCACGTTGCTCTAGGTCCTGACCAGTACCCCGGCCATGGGATCTATATTTGTTTTAGCTCATGGCTATTTTACATGTTCGATAATGGCAGACGGAGTCCGTTGGAAGCAGAATTGCTCTTCTTTCGCACATGATGTTTGTCCTGCTCCGCTCCACTCTTAAAACCTTTTAGTCCCTAAAAAGGTCCACTGTGGCTTCGGAAGTGGATCAAACCCAATAGTTCTAAGAAATACCATCAAAAAAAGAACACATATCTCTGGAAACATCAGAGCGTGGGCTACAAGGATATCAAAGCTGTTTGTACATACAAACACAACTCAAGCAATGAATAAATGTGTGCAAAAAATGACTACCAAACATTTCATCCACCATCGATCAAAGCATCACGTTGACAACAAAACAGAGATAGCCAAAAGCAAGAGAATAACACACAGATTAGAGATATCTTCATCAAATCTCTCAGAACAAACACCAGCCAACCTGAAAAGCAATTTTTCACTTACTTTTGGAATTTTCCAGTAAAAATAATAATATAAATAGTTTGTTGGTTTTACCTGTGTTTTTACAGTTTGTAGGTTCTACTCTTGGCCAAACAAAAGTGTTCCATTTGGATTCAAGATTCAGTTGATTTCTATGGTTGTATTTCAATTGGGTTTGGGAATTATTGGATTAGCGTTATCTAACCCTAACCCTATTTTCCAAAAAATGTCCAAAAATGTTTTATTTGGATGTATTAGTTGATTTGGATGTATTAGTTAAGATAGTAACATACAACTGAAATGTGTAGTATATACAAATGACTCCAAAATGTGCACAAATTTATATTTAGGAAACCTCACCTGAACTCTCTGAAGCATCTCTAGATTTGCTGTGCTTCACTCCATCAAATTAAAACTTTCCAAAGAAAGGAATTTTCATTTATTTTTTAACCAGTAACATATATACTGATATTTCACATCATGTCACTCACAAAGGTTCCCCTAAAATTGTTAGCAATGTGTGATAGCTTGTTATGGTCTTGTTTTCCTGACTTTGACCGAGTGTTTGGAACTTTCTCATCCCAGTTTTAAAACAACTCTCTAAGGGAAACTTATGCACTGCGAGGGCTGTGTACACAGTCAGGATTTATGCTGGAGAAAAAAGGAATTATGTGTCTCTCGGTTTACCACTCTGTTTTACTGTTAAGTATGCGCTCGCCCCAGCTTGGTCCTTTTTTCCCATTCCCCATATGCTTACCACTTATGCTGTATATTAGATACACACCATGTTTAAAAATAAATCTGACTCACATTACAGTCCTAATGGTCTCTAGAAACAGATTCTGCATTAATATGCAGGAAGTGTTGACCAATCACGTGCGAGCAGGCTTGGATTGAATGCAGGTAAACAGACCGTGCGCAGTGCTAAAGAGTCGGAAAGCCCAAAGGAAGAAATGCTGAAAAAAAAATTACACAGGTCTGAGATGAGAACCTCACGCAAAATATACCACCATTATTTCCACTGGCTTCTGATTCCTTAAACCTTAAATCCTTTCGTGACGTATATTGGTTGGTTAATTGTTAAACAATATCGAAAGTGTCCCTGAGCAAGACACCTAACTCCGAACTGCTCCCCGGTGCCTTTACGGCAGCACACTGCTCCCACTGAGTGGGATGGGTTAAATGTAAATGCAGAGAATCATTTTCAATGGAATTAATAAAGGATACGTTCTTCTTCCTCTTCTTTCAAAAGATAGGAAACTCTGTAAGAAACATTTTGTGATCAGTACAGAGCAGACAATGATCTTTTAATCGCTGCCGTTATTAACATCACTTCATGTAATGTCTCTAATGCATTTTATAAGAATTGCCTGTACTCAGCTACAAAACGTGTTCCTTAAACAGATTGATACAATTATGATTTACCTATGAATTTACACATGCATTATGAACTAGATGGATCAGTTTTTTCTCTAAATTGATTGCGTTGGCCCACAGTTTTGAAGTATATTTAATAAAAACTGAAACTAATTATTTTTTATTACTATACAGACCTGTTAAAATAGACATCTGACAAAGTTGAAAAGCAAACTCGTTTGACTGGTGTTTGAAGAAGCCAGGAAGCAGCCGGCCCAGACTCTCTCTCCCTCCACCCTGAAGCATTGTGCTGATCAGCTGTCTCCGGTGTTTACGAACATTTTCAACACCTCTCTGGAGACACGCCACGTCCCAGCCTCCTTCAGGGCCTCTGTCACCCCAAAAAAACAAGGATCACAGAACTTAACGACTACAGGCCTGTCCCCCTGACCTCTGCGGTCATAAAGTCCTTTCAGCGCCTTGTCCTGTCCCACCTTTACGACCTTTTCCGCCTCTTTCTTCATTTCATGCTCCAGCATGCTCCTGCTCCTGGGACTCCCGAGGAACCTACGCCAGGATTCTGTTTGTGGACTTCAGCTCTGCATTCCCCAGAATCACCCCCTCTCTGCTGCAGGATGAGCTCTCCCGGCTGCACGTGCCCGACTCCACCTGCAAGTGGATCACTGACAGGCTGGGAAAGCACGTCTCACTTTACCGGAGCATCCGCACCGGTTCCCCCCAGTCACCAGTCCGTCAAGCTCCTCAAGTTGTGGAGCTTGACACCACCCTCACTGCACTCATCTCTGGTGGGGATGAGTCCGCCTTCAGGTTGGAGATTGTCCAACTTGTGAACTGGTGCAGTGAAAACAACTTAGAGCTCAACGGTCTGAAGACAGTGAAGATGGTGGTGGATTTCCAAAGGAACGCAGCCCCACCTTCCCCCCATCACCCTGTGTGACTCCCCTGTCACGGCTGGGGAGCTGTGGAGGCTCCACCACAAGAAGGTTCAGCAGAGAATGTACTTCGTAAGGCAACGGAAGAAGTTCATTCTGCCAGAGACAACGATGGTACAATTCTAAACGACCATTATATAGTCCATCGTCTGCTCGTCCATCACCGTCTGGTACGCTCCAGCCACAGCCAAGGACAAGGGCAGGCTGCAGCGTGTCATCCGCTCTGCAGAAAGGGTGACCGGATGCAATCTGCCGTCCCTCCAGGACCTGCTCGCTTCAAGGGCCCTGGAGCGAGCTAAAAAGATTGTAGCCGACCCCTCTCACCCAGGTCAAAATCTGTTTGTGCCCCATTTGGCAGGAGGCTGAGGTCCATCAGGACTAAGACCTCCCGCCACACGAACAGTTTCTGTTTTGTTCTGTCTGAGGGCTCATCAACAGAGGCCAGGTCCCCTGTTGACTGACTCCACTCAAAACACTTTTAGCCACTTTCAATACATTGTGTATAGTATTGTTATTGGTTTGCCTGTGTACTTTAACTCTTTTACTTTGTATTGTGTATTCTTGTATTTCCGTGTATGTCCAACAAATGTATAATAATAAGTATAACTGTAAGGCAAATAAATGTTTCTGATTCGTAATACTGAACCAATCACCAGAACACATGTCTGTCTGTGTAACAAACGTGGCAAATAATGGCTTCTGATGTGTAATTTCTGATAAAATTAGAACATATGCGAACATTTTTTATGATATGGTATCTTCAATACTTTATCAAATTTAATTCTCACAATAAATTAATCGACAGGAAAGGATTTTAAAAAGGCCAGAAGTCAGAACATGATCTGTTTGTTTTGTTCTACTCTCTGTAGACCAGTATGAATTAATGTGGCATCAAAAGATTGACTCAGTGTCGTCTGAGCATCCTTCACCCACGCTGTGAGGCGCACCCACAGTACATCCCTTACCGAGTGCTCCTTAAGGTAGAGAAAGAACAAGACATTTCTCTCAATGGGAATAATTTAAAATGGAACTGAACAATCCAAACAACGCAGCTATGGATCCTTGCTCAAGGCTGTGAAGAGAATCTTTGCATGTGTTGGTTTTAAAAACTGACCTACTTCTAAAGCTAGCAGACGGGACTGATCCTGGCAGAGTCCACTGACAGAAAATAACGCTCCAACGCTTGCTTCTCAGTAACTTTAAGCACGTCGCATCAAGTCCACATCACCCTAAGCCAGTACCATGTCCAATGTATGTGTGTGAGGTGTCAATTTAGCTTCCCTACCTTCTGCATCTCTTAAGTTATCACATGGACAATTAATCAGAGATACACATTTATACGCATTTACAATATCACCTCTACTGTACTTACATATCAATTTGAATGTCACTATTTAATAGGCTATGTTCACATATACACATATATATATAGAGCATGCATACAGTTTGACTATGGTTTCCACTAGGGGTGTAATGATTCATCCACTGAATCGATTAATCGACTTATATTCCTGCGATCCAACGGAATCGATCTGTGGTCCGCAAATCGGCATTCTGGACGACATATATCGATTACAAATCGATTGAAATGGTATATAATCGATTTGTATCAATACTTGGAAACTGCACATTGGATTTAAGCACAAAAACTGTATGGATGTGTGTTTGTTTGTTTTTTAGCACTTTAGACACGTTAAACGTTACTCGATTCAGGCTGCCTGTCTGACGTCATCAGTATGCAGCGGCAGCCGCGCGAAACTCGGAACAACAACAACACACAGCGTGGAGGAGACAACTGCGAGCGAGACATTTACAAACTAACTTATCGATCCAGCGTGTGGAAACATTTTGGCTTTTGCAAACACGGAGGTGTTCTAAATAAGTCGGTCGCTTTTTGTAGAATATGTAGAAGACAAATAAAAAAACACGGAAACACGACAAATCTTTCTGGCCATCTACTAAGGCGCCGTGGGATTAAACAACGCCGACAATCGGGCACCTCTAGCAGCGTTACCGCTGCAGCAGCAGCAGCAGCAGGTAACTCCAGCTCTGCAGACACCTCAGGCCTTGACAGCACCAAACTCAACATCACAGTAACAATTGCCAAGTTTATCTGTAAAGACATGCGACCCTACAATGTGGTTGAAAATCCGGGGTTCTGTGAATTGATCCAAACATTGTGTAATTATTGTGTGATGTTTACATTGAAAATGACACTTGATTCAAATAAAAGGTTAATACATTTGCCATTAATTGTTTGCTTGTTTATCATATCCATAATTAATTTAAACCTGATTTCCTTACAAGAAACAACAGGGATCTCGGAAACTTTGCCTGCACTGTCCAGTAAAGTAAAGAATCGATTTCAAGTCACTGAATTGAATCGAATCGAATCATTCTAAATTAACCCAGATCGTCCATGAATCGAATCGGCAACTATGAATCGCGATTCGAATCGAATCGTTGTTAAAATGAATCGTTACAGCCCTAGTTTCCACTGAGTTCTCCGCATATATACAAATAAACAATCAGAAATAGAAAGACATTAAATATTAATGTATTATAGCAATACAAATAAGACAGTAACACTACAAGAACAGACTGTAGCTTTATATAACTCCAGTCCATTGCAAAGGGGGTCAACCTTTGATGACATTACAACAGTCTAAGCATGCAATATATGCTGTTTTCTCTTGGGTTCCTCCTAATCACGACCCCCTTTTAACATTAAAGTATTGTGAGAACACGGATAAATTGGTTACCACAAACAGAGGGGATTACAGTTGCTGTTGCAGACTTACTATACTTATGGGCTTGACTTGAACAGGGATAATCAAACAGATTTTGCAGGGTTTGGCCAGATACTATCAAGGTTAAAGCAAAAAGCAAAACATTCAACTGTGATCTCACTATGAACTGAATCCTGTTCAGTCTTTCCCACCTGTCCACCCGGTTTCCTCGTTAGTCTATTTCCTTTCCTAAAAGAGAAGAAACACATCTTAAATAGTGAAATACGACCCAGAAAGTGAAGCGGCCTGTGCCAAATGCTCATGCCACATTCACATTTGTCTATTGTTCCAGGCGGTCTCTGGCACCTGGTTTTTCTCCTTTACCATATTTGAGTGTTAATGCCACACTAGTTAGAGCTGGTGCCCAAAAAATAGCAGACCTCCACACTGCAGCTAAACATCTTTTAATTAAAAGGTCCAGTCAGTGCATGTGATACTGCACTCCCATTTTGCCTCAACGTTGCCCTTTGTTATTGTTTTGTTTGTTCGGGGGCTGCCCAGTGATGTCAGGCCAGGGTTGTTTCCGTGGTAATGAGATGTCAGAGAAATAAAGGAGGCTTTTTTCTTTACATATCTCTTCCTTCCAAGCAGGGGAAGTAGACAGAATAACTGGTCTGGCAGAAGCATCTATAGTTCGCATTCTGGTGTCACAGATGCAGTAAAACCATATGAATGAAGTGGCTCTCCATGACTGTGGGACTGGCAAGAATAGACCTTTTTAGATGTTGTCTGTTGAATTGGAGCTGGATTCAGAGGTGCTCAGAGGGACCGGTCTAAAGGACTGATGTAATTTGCCAGCCTCTAATGACAAAAATATTTTCTCTAATCAGTCCCTTTCGGGCTCGCTGGTATGTTTCCCTCTTATTGTACTAATTGTCTCTTTCATCATGCATTTCAGCTTGCCTCGAAGCAGCCCACTTGTTCACCAGCAATAAAGCCCAGTTATTAAGGCTAGCTGAAAAGCGTGAATTTAATTATTTGAGTCATCCCTCTCTGTGTCACTGTGCTAGTGTCACTTTCAGGAAAACAATCTATTAGTTAATTATACTGTAAAGAAGCTACATAGCAGGTGTGGAAATCAAACGGAAATCATTTGAATTCAAATAATTTTTGATTAATTTCTGTATGCTTGTAAAATTGACTTTTAGCTGGTAAAAAAAGCTACGTGATTGAACACCCACATCAAATGCAGACTCACGACTTGCCTGAATATATGGCACGACCACCTACTATCATTCAAGCATGAACAAGACTCTCTAAACTGTGATAAGATATGTTAATTTACCCCATCACCCCAACAAATAAATACTGCACTAGTTTAAATAACTGAGGTTCTTGACTTGAATAAATTGTATGAGGAGGTGAGTCACCGCAACACAAAGTTTCACTTGCATGAATCATGAATGTGGGTCGTCGGTTCAGAAAGAATTGAAACAAATATTGAACTTGGCACTTAATTAGAGTACATTTATGAGGAATTATTGGTATCTGAATTTGTTAAAAGCTCAAAAATATTGTTTATAGTTTAACTTTCTCTTTACCTCGGACGGCCTGGCCGCCCGGGCCATGTCATGTGAGCAGGGAGAAGCCCGGACTACAACAGACACAGATGGAGAGGGACTCTGTTCACTGCTCAGGTGGACATTGCGCCACTATTTGTTTGCATAAAAAAAAAATATTTGCTTCTATATTAATGGTCTGGATATCTAATTTAGAACATTTAATTGCTATCACGTAGCCTAAAATAAACACAAACCTCAATAATTTAAATCTGATTCGTCCAACAGAAATGTAGCTGAAAGCTTATTTTCATGCACGATCGCAGGGCAAGGTCAAAGCTGTAGCTTCAGGCAGATTACGCAATGCATAACAGCTTGTTGGCCGGTATGTAAATTACCACTTCTCAGTGGTCTTTCCAGTGCAGCCTGCATGCATTTCATTGTAACCAAATGAATAAAAAGTCCATAATATTATAGTATTTGTTAACCCATTAACCTTAAGATACCATCCCAACGACCTGCAGTCGTCGAAACAAAGAATAACATTGTGTAAAACAAAGAAAAACGATTCAAATAGTGGGACTCTTGACACTGGGATGATGAATACCCTGCAAAATAAAGAGAGCGCTCATCTTACAATGTCAGGCAGTAGTGGAAATGAAATTAATTTTCCACTCCGGATTGCCAAATCTCAAGGCAGACCAGAATGATATATTGCACTTGATATTTATTTTCCATCATCTTTGCCGATCTTTGCACTTTTTGGCAGGCTAATAGAGGTCTTTAAAGAATAAGAACATTGGATTTCATCCATTTTAAATTCCACTAATAATAATTCCACGAATAACCACTTATGTTACGTTATGATTGAGTGAAGGAATGTGTTTTCTTTTAGAAGAAGCCAACTTTGATTATTTACAATTGTGAGTATGATCGTATTACGTTAATAAAAAAAATCCTGAGGCTTTCTCTTAAAATAATGAACTATGTAATAGTTCAAAATCTGTATCTGTGACAGCTTTTACATATCCGAGGTTCTGACACAAAAGGACTTTTCATTCTTGCTGCACTTGATCATACATTCATGGACGTGTGTGTAGATTAAAAGGCTAAACTAATTATATTCAGTTTCCCGAAATGTGTAAATGTTGATTTACATCATGATTTTATTATAACTACCCTGGAAATCTGGAAGTCTGAGTCTGTTGATGAGACAAAAGTGAGTGGGATGGTGACGACAATTCACATATTCCCACAGTGTCACATGGGCTAAATAAAAGACGAGGTGGACTTTGCAGGGTGTGGAAATTGATTTATTAAAGCTGTTGCTGTTGATTCTGCCTGACTACCAATCCAGAGGATGTACACTAAATATGTTGAATTTCTTGTTGTTAAAACAACAAGAAATGGTAATACCTTTTGGTCATACCTTTTTAGAAAACATATGCCTGTTAGGTATTGTAAGCACAGGTAATATCAGGACAGGAAGTAAACAGATGGCCTCCTACCGGATACGGCCCCAAGGGAAGGCAGTGACAGACATCTCCCCACTAGTGAGAACACACAACTATACACCGTGCAAATACACTGAATGCATGCCCCAATATGACACTCCCATGGGGAGGATATGTAAAGCCACACGTGTTGGGCTCGATTGACTAATACACTTCAGTCATTAACAGTCATTTCGTCGCTGTGCTCCTTAATGCTACCCGGTTCAATATTTGTAGGAAGCCATGTAACCCGGAGGGAGAACAGCTAGAGAAGGGTGCTAATGTTTGTGTGTGTGAGTGTCTATGTGTATTTACATAGATTATATTATATATATATCCTCCTCACTTGATCCATAATTTGGCCATTATGAAAAACAAATATTTAATTTCCCTTATTTGGATGGATCTTTTTAGAAGTCACGAGGGAGGAAAGATGAGACAGACAGAATTTACCGGACCGACCAGACCCTTTTAAAGAAAATCCTTTAGGGTCTGGAAGCTGCAGCACAACATCACTGCCATTTTATACCGAGACAAATAGCGGACTCAGCTCCAGGTCATTACGCTTAGGTTTTTAAGAGTCTGCTGTCTTAAATTGATTGCCTGTGTTCATCTCTTTTCAGCCATGTGAGGAATCTACCGGGAGATTAGTTTTCTGTTGGTTATATTTACATTATGTCAAGATTGTTTTGCTGAAAGACTGAAAGCTGTGCTGCGTGAGGTCACTGTGCGCCATTGTTATCACCAAAAGTCCCGACAGCATTTAAGCA